TCTTTTAGTATAGTTATTTTATATGTAATTATATTATGTGCATTGTAACAACTTCTCAGCATGCGTCTTAAGCAAAAGTCATGAGCTTGACAAAGGCATCACTTGGCAAAATTCTATGACCTGTGTTACGCAGGAGGTCAGACTAGATGGTCATAATCGCCCCTTCTGACAATAACATCTATGAATCAGCAGCAGCCTGAACCCTGAACCTTCAGTACCCCAGCACACACTGCTGCCACCTGACTAGCTAGCAGCAGCAGCAGCTGTGGATGAACCAGTGGGCCGAAGCACTGGATCTAGGGGATGGCCAAGGGGATGATGCGCCTGGCCCATGAATCTCTCTCTCTCCCCCTTCCCCCCACCCACGGTGGGAATTGGGGAACTTCCTGCCCCCTGAGGTCCCCCATAGTGGGACCAGGTGATGGGTCTGGGAGAGATTTATGGAGTAGATGGAGGGGAAGCTGCTCCTGGTAGGTGGGGGTAGGGGTTCCTGACCAATGTAGTGCCTCCAGAGGGGGACCTGGTCCATTGGGGTCTTATGCTGGGCCCAGGGGTGGAGAGGAGCCCAGCTTAGCTCTTTTTCCTCACCCCTAACACTGCTCCCAGGTGTTCGCAATAAAACATGGGCTGCAGCAGCCTGGCCTTAGAATATTGGTGTTAGTTATTATTTAGGCAGGCTGCCAATGCTTTCTAAGGAATGCAAGCAAGAGAAAGAAAATAGTGATTTTTAACAGTTTATAACAACACAAGTCAAATGGAATTTCACAGAACAAAGACAAGGCACTTCTCCACCCTGAGAACATTTCCCCTGTTGAATATCAAAGGCCTGTTGTAAACAGTGGAGATTTAAGAGCTTCTCAAAGAAAAGAATCAAGTATATTTTATAATGGAAATTGTTAGGCAACCTAAATACAGGGTCACTTCCAGATCCCTCTATAATCTACAGCACTAGCCCACATTTTTAGACTAATGACCAGCACAATTTTATTTGAAAATACAAAACTAGTTTGAGTCCTAAGAACCCTTTCCTATCCCTGTTCTTCCAGATACATGAAACAGCCACACTGAGTACCTTTTATAATTTATATGAACATCTTAAGATCTTCATCTTAAGAAACTTCAAAAACAGACTCCAACGAGAGACTGCTGAATTGGAATTAATTTGCAAACTGGATACAATTAACTTAGGCTTGAATAGAGACTGGGAGTGGATGGGTCATTACACAAAGTAAAGCTATTTCCCCATGTTTATTCTCACCCCCACCCCCACTGTTCCTCAGAGGTTCTTGTCAACTGCTGGAAATGGCCCACCTTGATTATCACTACAAAAGGTTTTCTCCCCCCCCCACTCTCCTGCTGGTAATAGCTCATCTGAAGTGATCACTCTCCTTACAATGTGTATGGTAACACCCATTGTTTCATGTTCTCTATGTATATAAATCTCCCCACTGTATTTTCCACTAAATGCATCCGATGAAATGAGCTGTAGCTCACGAAAGCTTACGCTCAAATACATTTGTTAGTCTCTAAGAAAAGGAGGACTTGTGTCACGTTAGAGACTAACAAATTTATTTGAGCATAAGCTTTGTGAGCTACAGCTCACTTCATCAGATGCAGGTGCCACAAGTACTCCTTTTCTTTTTGTGAATACAGACTAACACAGCTGCTACTCTGAAACCTGTCATTATGCAAGGCACTGAATTTAGCCGTATGGAGTGGCAATCTATCAACTTCATGAAAAAACTCATACAGATACAGACAGACAGATACAGACAGATATCATCTTCCTTTCCAAATGCAAACAGATGGACATCATACCAAAAGGACTGAAGGTAAAAAATCCATTACAATCTACATACCACAAAGACTATGCTGACAGCTTGTGCCACACGCTCTCAAAGAAACTGCGGAATCACCTGATCAAGATCCTCTACAGCAAACAGGGAAAGATTAAGAATGAGCTCTCAAAACTGGATACTCTCATAAAAAAACAGCCTTCCATACAAACTTCCTTGCGGCTGGACTTTACAAAAACTAGACAAGCCATTTACAACACACACTTTGCTTCTCTACAAAAGAAAAAGGACACTGAACTATCTAAACTACTACATGCCACAAGGGGCCACAACAGTGGTTCTCTTAACCCACGCAGCAATATTGTTAATCTATCCAACTATACTCTTAGCCCATCAGAAGAATCTGTCCTATCTCAGGGCCTCTCCTTCTGCCCCTCCACGAACATGATACAGTTCTGTGGTGACCTAAAATCCTATTTTCGACGTCTCCAACTCAAGGAATATTTCCAACACACCTCTGAACAACACACTAACCCACAGAGACCTTCCTAACAAGACTACAAAAAGAAGGATTCTGGGTGGACTCCTCCTGAAGGTCAAAACAACAGACTGGACTTCTACACAGAGTGCTTCCGCCGACATGCACGGGCTGAAATTGTGGAAAAGCAGCATCACTTGCCCCATAACCTCAGCCGTTCAGAACACAATGCCATCCACAGCCTCAGAAACAACTCTGACATCATAATCAAAAAGGCTGACAAAGGAGGTGCTGTCGTCATCATGAATAGGTCGGAATATGAACAAGAGGCTGCTAGGCAGCTCTCCAACACCACTTTCTACAAGCCATCACCCTCTGATCCCACTGAGGGTTAACAAAAGAAACTACACCATTTCCTCAAGAAACTCCCTGAAAAAGCACAAGATCAAATCCGCACAGACACACCCCTGGAACCCCGACCTGGGATATTCTATCTACTACCCAAGATCCATAAACCTGGAAATCCTGGGCGCCCCATCATCTCAGGCATTGGCACCCTGACAGCAGGATTGTCTGGCTATGTAGACTCCCTCCTCAGGCCCTACGCTACCAGCACTCCCAGCTATCTTCGAGACACCACTGACTTCCTGAGGAAACTACAGTCCATCAGTGATCTTCCTGAAAACACCATCCTGGCCACTATGGATGTAGAAGCCCTCTACACCAACATTCCACACAAAGATGGGCTACAAGCCGTCAGGAACAGTATCCCCGATAGTGTCACGGCAAACGTGGTGGCTGAACTTTGTGACTTTGTCCTCACCCATAACTACTTCACATTTGGGGACAATGTATACCTTCAAATCAGAGGCACTGCCATGGGTACCCGCATAGCCCCACAGTATGCCAACATTTTTATGGCTGACTTAGAACAACGCTTCCTCAGCTCTCGTCCCCTAATGCCCCTACTCTACTTGCGCTACATTGATGACATCTTCATCATCTGGACCCATGGAAAAGAAGCCCTTGAGGAATTCCACCATCATTTCAACAATTTCCATCCCACCATCAACCTCAGCCTGGACCAGTCCATACAAGAGATCCACTTCCTGGACATTATGGTGCAAATAAGCGATGGTCACATAAACACCACCCTATACCGGAAACCTAGGGACCGCTATTCCTACCTACATGCCTCCAGCTTTCACCCAGACCACACCACACGGTCCATTGTCTACAGCCAAGCTCTATGATACAACCACATTTGCTCCAACCCCTCAGACAGAGACAAACACCTACAAGATCTCTATCAAGCATTCTTACAACAACAATACCCACCTGCTGAAGTGAAGAAACAGACTGACAGAGCCAGAAGAGCACCCAGAAGTCACCTACTACAGGACAGGCCTAACAAAGAAAATAACAGAATGCCACTAGCCAACACCTTCGGCCCCCAACTAAAACCTCTCCAACACATCATCAAGGATCTACAACCTATCCTGAAGGATGACCCATCACTCTCACAGATCTTGGGAGACAGGCCAGTCCTTGCTTACAGACAGCCCCCCAACCTGAAGCAAATACTCACCAGCAACCACACACCACACAACAGAACCACTAACCCAGGAACCTATCCTTGCAACAAAGCCCGTTGCCAACTGTGTCCACTTATCCATTCAGGGGACATCATCGTAGGGCCTAATCACATCAGCCACACTATCAGAGGCTCGTTCACCTGCACATCTACCAATGTGATATGTGCCATCATGTGCCAGCAATGCCCCTCTGTCATGTACATTGGTCAAACTGGTCAGTCTCTACGTAAAAGAATAAATGGACACAAATCAGACATCAAGAATTATAACATTCAAAAATCAGTCGGAGAACACTTCAATCTCTCTGGTCACTTGATTACAAACCTAAAAGTGGCAATTCTTCAACAAAAAAACTTCAAAAACAGACTCCAATGAGAAACTGCTGAATTGGAATTAATTTGCAAACTGGATACAATTAACTTAGGCTTGAATAGAGACTGGGAGTGGATGGGTCATTACACAAAGTAAAGCTATTTCCCCATGTTTATTCTCACCCCCACCCCCACTGTTCCTCAGACGTTCTTGTTAACTGCTGGAAATGGCCCACCTTGATTATCACTACAAAAGGTCCCCGGGTCCCCCCTCTCCCTCCCGCCGCCCCGCTCTCCTGCTGGTAATAGCTCATCTTAAGTGATCACTCTCCTTACAGCGTGTATGGTAACACCCATTGTTTCATGTTCTCTATGTATATAAATCTCCCCACTGTATTTTCCATTAAATGCATCCGATGAAGTGAGCTGTAGCTCACGAAAGCTTATGCTCAAATAAATTTGTTAGTCTCTAAGGTGCCACAAGTCCTGCTTTTCTTTTTAAGATCTTAAAAGAGATCCACACATTTTGCATATGGATACCATGTCAAACAAAGATCAACCTGAAGTATGTCTGTTCCCTGTAAGCAGACTGCAGAGCAATGCATATATTGTTTATAAGCCTTCTCAGAAAAATAACATATTTTTGAAAGTACAAAGAGAAATCTGGACAACATTTTAGCACTCCAGTGGGGGATTCTCTGAAGCTCCCAGTGGACAGCACCTGGGTTCTGCAACAGGGGTCAGATATGTGGGAAAAAAATCCTACCAGTGACAAATGAACTCTAGGCTACATTCCTTCTTCACTGTTTTATACTCTTACCTCCGATTCTTTGTAATAGCGCTCAGGGATTTCGTCACAGGCAATATCGATAAAGCAGACTTCTCGCTCAAGATCTTTGGCTTCATTGTCAAAAATCTGCAAGATTCAAAGAAACTTTAACTTTACAACAGGACAGTTCCAGCTGCAATAGTGTTTACTAGGCATTGTGAGGGGCTGAGCCAATGGCTTGTAGAACAGCAGAGCGCATAGTGCAGAGGGATCTGACCTCATGCTTGGAACGCTTGCAGCAGCACTCCATGTTCCACATAATGCCAAGTCATCCGCAGAATCCAGAGGCCCTGTACACGTGCCAGAGCACGCAACGAGGCCCAGGGGAGAAAGTGGGTGTGACCGAGGAGGCAAACAACAAGCAATACATTCCTAAGCAGGATCCAACTGCTGCTTAAGAGGAGTGTGCAGCAGCCATCGTTTTGGGGTATGTAATCACTCCTGCTTCAAGCCAGGAGGCATTGGACTGTACTTAACAGTACACCCTGCTTAGCGCCTCTTGCTGCTGCTCTGCTCAGTCCATTCCTTTCCATGTCACTCTGCACATCTTTGCAGGATCCAGCCCCTAGTGACTTCTGGGTAAAGCAGATATTTCATCAAGGGATTATTATTTATGTTGCCTTCTCTAATTGTTGGGCCAGATATCACCATCGAGGGAAAAGCTGACTTTCCAGACTCAAGTTTTTTTTGTTCTTTCAAAAGAGTTATTAGAAGGGTTATTCTACTTTCGGGACAACGATGAAATGTATCTGTGCATGTGTATGAAATGAGACAAAGCTTCGACTCTGCTGTTATACTGAGACTCAGGATTCTGGCTGAATCCTACAGATTAAAAGGTTGAGGAAACCGTAAAGTCACAGGATAAAGTTCTGCTCTCAGGTGTGTGCATGAAGCTCCTATGGATTTAAATCCTTTAGGACTAGGTTTTGAAAGGCCAGACTCTATTTCTGCACCTACATACTAGGGGTGCACTTTTGGAACCACAATTATTTGCATGTACAATTTAGGCAATTTCTAACGACCTGACTGTGCCCACAAATCAACTACATGGGCATCTCAATGACATATGCTGTGTCTGCAATGTTTTGTTGGCACAAAATGGTGGCCAGGGTAAGGCAGTCCTAAAGCCAGGAGAGCTATGCATGCACATTCAAGGACAAGAACTGGCCAACAGTGTGTTTTACCTGAGTAGTACCATGCTCTACAGCTAACATTTTCAGGAACTATATATATCCCTTGCTTGAAAAATAAATTTAATGAACATATAAAAAAGTTAATTCCATTTCATTTCAGCCCAGTGGGACAATTAATTTGATATAAGGATACAAAATGCAGCGCTACTCAGTAGCCAGACTGCCAGTTTGGTATTTCTTCAAGAAACATAACTATTCAATATACAGCAGTCATAATGAAAGAGGGACTGGAAATGGGCCAGTTTATGGGAGGAGGTTGAGCTAGGCCAGTTTGTAAATTCTTAACAGGTTGCTATTAGTAACACAGGTAAGAAACTTTCTTAAAAATATGTATTTTAATCCGACATTGTCCATTCAGCTGTGTACTTGAGATGTTGCGGGCTCAATCTTCGAGCAGAACCTATAAATTACACACAATTCAATTTTTTTCTCGCTTTAAAAAAGTTAGAAATAGGTCAGGTGAACAGATTTCTGGAGGCTGTTCAATTAAATCACTGGCCTTTGCTAGACTGTCAGCCAGAATGGTTAGAAATGGACCTAAAAATGTACAGTCTTCAGAGGGTTAATTTAGGAGGAAGAGATTATATCCCTCTCCAGACAGACCATTTCCTTAGCTCCAAAAGTTGGCTGCATGATGTCCTGGCTCCCCATTACTAGCCCAAGTTGTCATCTAATCATTGGTCCATGTTCTTTTCTTCGAGTGTCCTCACAAGATTTGCAGATAGAGATTTAATCTCTTAGTTTTATCAGCAGTGGAAAATAAGAAGTCATTAGAGCACAAGATTGATTTCTTTTTTAGGTCTAATTCTCTTATTGCCCCGTCTAGCCAAATACTCCAGGATATTCTTAAAGCCCACAGGGGGGATGGTTTGATTGCTTTTGCAATCAAAATTAAGAGGCTGGAGAAATTAAAAAGTTTTAAAAAAAGAGATTAAAGCCCACAAAAAGAAACATAAGGCTCCCAATCTGTGCAGCTCTATTTGCAAGTGTGCAGAGAGTGACTGACAAGAATGCTTTGTATCCTTCATAATAAAAAAGAAATTGTAGAAAGGCTGAATGTTAAATATTATTAAATCTGAACGGTCGTTCTGAGAGAGAGAGAGAGTGCACACTTTACTGCAATATTCAAGCATCTGTGCACTTCCATTTTCCAAGAGGGATGAAAACTGCTCAAGAGAAGTTTCCCAGTCAGACTAACTCACCCCCAAAATAACAGAAGAACAGACAGTAGATTTTAATCGGGCTATTTTGTATCCAGATAAAGTCGTTTGTTTAGAACGAATTTAAATGCCAAAAAAACCCAACAAAACCCTGGGACAAGGTTAGAAGAAGATGCCCAAAGAAAGATCACACAGGGCACTGAAACCAAAACAAGTGCTTTTCAATTTACCCCCATTTCTTTTCTTTCTACTATGTAATGCGAGCTCCACCACCTTTTCTCGCCCAGGCTTCTGGCTCAAATCTAGCCCAGGTTGTAGTGACTGTCAGTTTCTGCCATCTGACAGTGAATACTTAGGGTATGTGTTCACTGCAGAGTTAATCTGGGTTAACCTCCCACCCTGACACTTGGGTGGGAGCACCTGGGTTATCCCAATTTGGGTGTGAGCAGATAGACTACAAAGCCATACAATTGTACAAAGCCATACTCAAGTTTGCCCACTTGATTGCATCCACACTGGTTCTTCACTCACTCAGGTGAGAAAGTAGGACTTCTGGGGTTCTTTGTGCTGCTTTAAACAGAGCTGATATATGATTCTTTCTTACTGAATTGTGAGGGTACTTGTCTGCCTACATTAAAAGCTTGTCTCAAAGGTACTTGTCTCAAAGGTAGAAATTCTGTCCCCATAATTAAGCAATGGGGTTCACTTTAGAAATCACAATTTGATAGCACAGCATAACTAACCATATACCAGCTTTCATGCTGAAAAATTTCTGGCATTTAGCTAAACAGTGATATACAGAAGAAAGATTTCAGTGCTCAGATAAGGTATTAGATCCTGGGCTTGGTTCTCAGTAACACTGAGACCCCTTTATAGTGAGTATATCTGTATGCCCATTTTAAGGCCCTTTCACATGGCCAGTGTCACGTAAAAGAGCCCTAGTGTAAGTGAGAATCAAGCCTTCCATGAACAGCACTGAGTCTGTGTAATTGAATCAGGAACTGAATGTTCCTATAGCTACTACTACTTCATAAGCAAAGCCTGTCCTAGCTCCAACTCCATGCACAGTAATAAATAATACTGTACAACCTATGCACAAGGGGGACAAGGTAGTATTTCCTAACCACTAGGCATTTAATTCTCCCTAATAACATTGCATTAATAGAAAAATAAAAAAAGATTATGGGCACAATCCTCATCTCCAATCCGTCCCCTTTACGTTGGGTGAAAGGGCCAGAGCAGTATAAAGGGGCTCGATAAGCCGTGATCTGGCCAAGGGAGGATTCCCCCAGCACAGGAATGGCAGAATCCAGACAGGCCCTCTTCTGGGGAGCCCCCTCGCAAGCCCTGACACAGGGGACATGCCAAGGGCAGGGCTTTTGACAAAGAGGGGTTTGGGGTGTGGAGCTGCAGTATGCAGCACTGTGGAGATTCTGAACAGCGCTATGCCCCACAGGCAGCTGGAGACAAGCTGCTGTAACTGAGGCCCCCAGAGCAGCTCAGGATCAGGAGGGCACAAAGGTGGCTTAAAACCATCTTAGCCCCCTCTCCCTCTGAGCTGTGTTTTCTGTGCTGTGCCTCTTAGGAACTCAGGAGACAACCTCTCCCTAAGCGACTGTGATTTTAGTTAACTCTTCAGGTCCTCAAGCTTTTATGTAGGCTTTCTTTAAAATTGCTGTTTAAATATAAATAAAGTAACTGAATCTTATTATCAGGCCGCATGCAAAGAAATTAACTAGAGATAATGGTAATCGCTTGGGCTATGACAGAATGGTGATAATTGGCAAACTGAGAAAGGGATTAAATATTTCCCTACATTTCATTTCAAGCAGATCCTCTACCACCAAGGAAGCAATCATGTTGTCGGCCTCAGTGCCTGATGACAATTCCCTCCACCAGCAAATAACCTCGGAGGTATATCAGACTCTCATCTTAATTACATGCATATTTTAGTGCAAGCTAAACCCAAATTGATGAGTTCTCTTTTATAAGGCCTTTTAATACCCCCTACAAATCTAAGCTGGAGAACAGAATTTTACTAGGCTTAAGCAGGAATAGGCATCCCTATTATGGTACTTTTGGAATACTCTGCTTTGCCCTGAAAGTTAAATAAACTCAGAAAGCTCCTGTCTATGGTTTAAGCCCCGCTTGCCTGATTCATTTGAGTAATCCCACTCAAATCAATGATATAGCATAGAGTGAGCAGGATTTATCCCTTAAAAACTCAGTCCTGAGGCAATTTCCTGCAAGATCTCCCCATGCAACTTGCACAGACACTCAGGAGTTTGCTAGAGCCCAAGTGTTTGGAGATGTGATATGCCAGGCATGATTACCAGTAGGATGGCTCAGTTCCATGAGTTGTGTGTGATACTCCTTCGGGGAGGGAGCCAAGGGTGGGGAGAAATCATACAGAGTCCCTGAAACTGCAGATTGAATTAAACAGCATCCATTTCATTTACAGCAAGTGATAATGCAAACTAATCCAACATAGGAGGAAAAGGGCAAATACACTTGCTGATTGGGAAACTATTGAAGGATTAGGAGTAGGAGCCAGATCATTTTAAAGGCAAGGAAATTACTCTAGTTTCCCCCTAAAAATAAACTGATGGTGAATTCTTTTTCAGACTGTAAGTGAGTGTTTCTTTTAGAAAGGGAAGAACCCAGGCTCTACCATGCTGTATGGTTGACACTCACACCTTTGCAGGGAGGCCAGTACAAGGCCAACACAGCACTT